TAGGACTTGCACGACTTGAATTGCAATAAATAACTGGAAAAATTAGGGTGTTCTAAAACTTTTGACCAGTAGTGTACATATGTATATATCTACGTATGTGTATATATATATATATATATATATGTGTGTGTGTATATATGTGTATATATGTATATATATGTGTGTATATATATATGTGTATATATATGTATGTATATATATATATATCTATATATATATATATATATATGAACTGACCACTTACACTTAAGTCTTTGCCAAACAGCTGTAGTTTCAATGGTTAAATGAGAAGTTTTGGAGGTAGTGTACAAGTTATGTGTGTATATATATGTATATATATATTTATGTGTATATATATGTGTATATATATATATATGTGTGTATATGTATGTATATATGTATATGTGTATGTATATACATATATATATATAAACCTGGACTAAACACATAACATGTCTACTGTTATATGAAGAAAAAAAAAAGAATAAATATCATAGCTCCTGATTAAATTAAAATGTAGATTTAATTGGATTGCTTCCTTGTAACAAACAGGCTTTTTCACTACCATGTAGAATTCGTCCATTCTTCCAACTACATCTATGTCAACACTCGGCCCGGCTTGCTTTTGAACCACTGAGATCATTTAGCTGCACCCTGGTATAAGTGGGCTGCTCAGGTCTTTATTTTTCCAAATCATAATAAGTGCGAGAACAGCTGTGCAGCAGAGTCGGGAACAGCCGAACTGTGACGCACTTCACACACATCCCATGTGGTGCAGGTGTTATTGTGTCGAGACTTGTACTGTTGATGTTGCTGTCGTTGAAGGGAATGCACCGATACCAGAAACAGCATCAGGTGCGATACATTGAAAATACCTGTATCGCGAGTCCAAAAAAAAGCCGATCCAGCGACCCCGTTTACAAGCACAGTGGATGAGGCGTTTACACCTCAACAAATGCTGCGTGTTAATTTTTGCTGCACAGTCCAGGTGGCGCTGTGTTTACAGAAAAGCTGGAGACAGTGTTTTCAATTGAAACGTGCTTTTGGTGTGAAAAGCTCTGCTCACTTTCTGTTCAATGGACTGTGTCTACTATTCAGAATGTTTCGTTTTTTTATTTATGGTTTTTTGGTTTATTTATTTAACCTTTGTTTTATTATATATATATATTGTGTCGGAGGATTGTAAGCGTTTGTCATCGCATCACACATTTCCCGTAGTTTTAACACTGCCATATATATATATTGTGTCGGAGGATTGTAAGCGTTTGTCATCGCATCACACATTTCCCGTAGTTTTAACACTGCCCTCCGGTTCAATGCGTTTTTTTTTTTTTCCAACCCAACTTAAAGAAGTGTCGGTGACAGTACTCTCAATGTTGCGTGAGTACACAAATGAAAATATTTGTACTCGTGTCGGTTTATACGATTTGTTCCCTTTAAAGCAGGGGTGTCAAACTCATTTGGGGGGGGGGGGGGGGGGGGCATCACAAGTTATAAATATTGTTCTTTGCTGTGTGTAAATAAAATAATTTATCAAATTATGAAACAACAACAACTTTATTATGAGGCAGTTAAACACTTTCGAAGCTTCTGAGTTTGACACGTATGCTTTGAAGTAACAGTTTGTTTATCTCCGTGGCAGCATGAGGGGCGTGTCTTATTTCCAGCTCACCACACTGTTCTCCGTGGTCCTGATGATTGCCCTTATGAGACTCTACTACTAAACCAAGAGGGGGATGTGTTTTTTTTTTTTTTTTTCTTCTTTCTTTAAAGGACATATACCACTGATTCTTTTGTACAGTCAACTGCGAAAATCTCGACTACGCCTTTAAATCGATCGAAATGTCTTAAGAGCAATCCACTGACCCTTTTTGGACTTTACCGATGAATACTTAGCCCTTTATTCACTAAATAGACCAGAATGCATTGCAGCACACAATGCACGCATTAACATGACATTTAACTCCAGAGATGTGAATACACTGGTTGTCACTTCGTTGCTATGGTATCTCTTCCACCGATCTTATTTCTTTAGAAGGTTTTTTTTTTTTTTTTTTTTTTTTCCGAGGGAAAATATACATCTAAGGAAACTTAACAACTACCACAATAACTGCTGAAATGCACTGAGTGGCACATGATGTGCCTGAGAGTACACAGATACTTTTTTGGTTTGTGTCTCTTTAACTTCAAAGGCAGGTGCTGTTGTGTTTCGACTGGAGCATTTTTTCTCTGTACTTGCTACTATACATAAAAGGAGTGTATAGGTTGTTTTACACAGCATGTAAATTAAGAAAATGGAAGTGGTCAGGTTGATGGCCATGACTATTTTAAACTGTTGGTAAACTTTTGTGTTTTTTTTTTTTTTTTTTTTTTGTTTGTTTTTTTTTCAATGTGCCTAATGATTAGTCCTTATTGCCAGTCAGATTGCTGCTATCATCTGGTGAAAATGTGCAATTTTGGTGTACTGTACTCGTGGAATGTAATAAAGAAATAGGCCTTTCTTACATTGTAAAATCTTCTGGGAGCTGTGTTTGTGTGGAAACGTGTGTAGTGTAAATAAACGTGTCCCTTTGTAACGCACACGGGTAAGCCACCAAAATCGACCAGCAGGGGGAGCGCTTGCTTTCTGTGCTATTAGCAGATCATCACTCTCCTCTCAATTTAACTAAGGATTTTCAATGCGAAAGAAGAAAAAAAAAACCCCACACGGTTACAGGAACTCACGTATTGTACGTAAGAACCTATGTCTCTCACCTACGCTAACACAGTGGAGTCAAGTTTGTCTTTCCACCTCCCAGTCAATATTTGCAAAAGGCAACATTGAGACAGGATTGTTACGATGTCGCATGAAGGGCAAGTCAATAATTTAAGAATTTGTTTCACTCTTATTTAAATGTATTTAATCCAGTTGATTGGGACTAAAGTTATTTGTTAATTTAGAATATACAATTTGCGTTTTTTTTTTTTTTGTTTTTTTTTGCGTTTTGAATTATTCCCTATTTCAGTAGTTGAGTTGTTTAGGGAATATTACGAATGATTTAACGTTACCTACGGGAATAGGAGGGGCCACTAGTGACACTATCACCAACGTATTTTCTACATCTTTTCTCGTCGTTCTTTGATCGTATTCTTCTTCGTCTCCCATCAAAGGTCACCATAGCTTAACTCTTGTCTCTAACCGTCGCAGCAGTAATCTTCACGTCTTCCTTCCCTTAAACCCATGAGCCTCTAGTGGTATAGTATCTCCATCTCCTTTTTCCACTCGGTGACTCCACGTCCTGTCACCTTCTCAGCCGAAAGCTTTTGTGGGAGTGACCTTTACGCCGAATGGTACTTCTCCATGTGATAATGTCACAATCACTGCACCTTTTTATACATATACGCAGAATTCAATAATAATAAAAAGCAGTTATTTCATGTGTTTATAATTCTAGCATTATGACAAAAATGTGTTTTTTTTCTCAGTGCCTCTCCAAAGTACCATAATTTCCAGACTATTGAGCGCACCTGAATATAAGCCGCACCCACTAAATTTAAAAAGTAAAAAATAATTGTACATATATAGGCCGCACTTCTCTATAAGCCGCAGGTATCTACGTTGTAACATGGGATATTTACACAGAAAGGTTTTAATTAAATAAATGCTTTTTTTCCCCGAACAGTGCTGAAGCTAACATTAGCTCCGGGGCTAACTCCCTTCACTTTGTGCTTTGTCCACAGCAGAGGTAAACAGAAACAGGGAAGTTGGGGTCTTTATTATCAACTCCCCACCCAACAGCGGGGAGAAGCAGAGGTAAACAGAAACAGGGAAGTTGGGGTCTTTATTATCAACTCCCCACCTAACAGCGTGGAGACGAAGTAGCTTTATTTTTTTGTCACACCCAGAGTACATATTTGCTGTCCTGAAGAAGCCTCTTGGACGTCCAGTTGCCCAACAGAACTCTTCAACCTTGACCATGACCTGGATGGCTGAGAATCTTCATAGACACTATTCCTGATCTATCCCCATGTGTAATCTGGAACTGACCCATTAGGGGAATATCCGGAGCCCACTCAGACTAGGTGGGGGTTGACAGCAAAACAAACTAGACTGCGCATAGACACTATTCCTGATCTATCCCCAAGCAAAACAAACCAGACTGCTGCAACATATTAGCATCCCATCTGGAAACAATATGTGAACAAATATTTTGGCTAAACAGATTTTTGGTATGGCAGTGACCTCAGAAGCTCTGCTGGGCGCAGATACTTCCAGTGAGACGAATTGCGTTTGATTTGCTCCAGACCAAAAAAGAGGGTACCGCTAATCAGCTTCCACGCTGGGGATTCATTATACAGCCAGCGGTAAGTAATGAGCAAAGCTGCAGCTTTGAAGCTCACTTTAATCATCGCACTGAAGGGTATTACTTAGCAACAGCAACTTGCACATCTCTCAGGAGGACGTGCGGTGATGCGCGAGAAAGTGATGTTCAACCGAGGAGGTAGTGACAAGTCGAAGCAAGCGCACTTCTTCTTTTTGAAGAAATTTACCGAAGCGCAGTAAATGTTGCCGATTAGCCAAACATGGTAACAGAGGCAACTGATATTAAAAGAAGACAAATATAGAGACACGTTAAATCTCCAGTCTGTAGACCAGTCATCATGCGTCATGCATCATGATGATGTCATCATGCGTCACGATGACATCACGAGGCCCTTACGGAAAAGGTGGAGAAGAAGTTAGGCTGCTTTGCTCGCTTTCCCTCTAAATTTATGCAAATCTTTTCCAAGGCTAACAGTTGTTGTTGTACACTGTCAAGGAAACCAGGTTAGTACACTGTGTACAGAGGTACTTCGGCTTGTACCTGAACAACATGAGTCATTGACTGGATAAACATGGATCCCTTCTGGTCCACTTTAGCTCGTCTATGAATATGATGTAAAATCACACAGATTATTAAAGATATATCTAAAGTTCAGAAAATCTTACAACGAGATTAAAAATAAATAAAACTGCTTTCTTAAATATTCATTTTATGTATATATGTTTAATTAAAACATCCAAAACACATTGATTTTATTTTACCTGGTAAAAGAAAAAAACCCAAAAGTGATTTTTTATCTGTTTTTTTTAAACATCCAAAACACATTGATTTTATTTTGTCTGGTAAAAGAAAAAAACAAACAAAAGTGATTTATATCTCTCTTTTTTTTAAATAATAATAATATAATGCGAAACAAGAAAATACAGAGCAGATGATTTTTTAATAACCATTTGTCCTGAACCGTATCACACGTAAACCGGCGTTATCGTTGGTTTCTCAAGTTTCCGGTGGTACCTGAACACACCTCTTGTGACAGCTGCAACTTCCGCATGACGACGTCCTAATCGGTGTAGATTTAGCGGTTTGCGCCTGTTATCAAGCAGCGCTGCTCCTCAAAGCTAGCGTGTGGCTAGTACAGGTTTGTTAATAATGTTCTTATGCTAAACACACGCGATAATTATTGAATAGTAAATAACATAAAGAAAATACATGTTAAATGTTAGTTAGTAAAGTATTTTTAATTTTATTTTGTAACTTTATGGTTTTGAAAATGGCGTTCTGGCTAGATGCTAATTCCGTTTTAGCATGGAAAAGTTTGGTAACCATCGACTTCCCTTCAAAAAGCCGTAAGTAAGTGTCAGTTTTTATAACAAACGTGGACCCGATAAATATACTAGCTACTTAAAAGGTAGTTCAAAAAGTGTTTTGTATGGTAGACATTTTTCTTAAAAAAAAAAAAGGAGCTCTCTGAGTCCCACCATGATGACCAACATTAGAATATAGCAGCATAGGCCTTCCCTACTAGCTTCTACCACACAGGAGAGATGTTTATGTTTAAATGTTGTATTAATTGTACATGGCATGTTTCAGATTTATTCAGTTGAAAATGTGAAAATATGAAATTTCCCCACATACCACTAGAGAGCGCTCTACTGGTGGTACAAGTACCACACAGTTTGACACTTTGTTTGCCCCTCTTTACTTTATGCATGCAACTATTAAAAAAAAAAATCAGTGAGAAACCAGACTAGGATTAAGTTTGTATCTTCTCTAGACAGGCTGTTGAATTTAAATTAAAAAAGATTACTCTGTTGTTTTTTTAACAATACAAAAAAGTCAAGCATTAGTGTCTCATGTTATCCAGCCAATAATATGGTAGTGGGAAGCACATCTAATTTTGAGTCTGTGTTTAAGCCAAACCTGCAGGCATTGGAGAGAAAAAATAGACTAAAAAAAGAAGAAAAAAAAAAATGAAATGAAATGAGGCCTCAGTGAAAGGATGCTGGTTTCCAAGGCAACATGGAGCATGTGCTGGTGTGTACTATGACCTCACACATATATCCTCCTCTACTGCCAGGATGCAGACACTACGCCTGCCTCCACACAGAGCACTTACCACAGCTACGTGCGAGGAGCCGCTGGAGTAGGAGGAGGAGGAGGAGGAGGAGTAAAATGTGTGAACATTGAAAATTAATCATTGTGATTGTAAGTAAATATACATTTATGGTGTCTCTTTTTATATGAATTTCAAGACAAATTTCAAAAGGCTTTCCCCTCCCACCCGCCAGAAAAAAATATGTATATATACAAACTAAAAATAGTCTGGATGGTTGTTCACAGAGGCACATCTAATTTAATAGCTCTGTTTGATTATTCAATATTCTCTAATACTACAGACCCCCGTAGATGCAAAAATGATGATGTCATTCAATGGTCGCTGGTAACCACATGCAGCCCCCCACACTATGTGTCAAGTTCAAACCAATTGTGTCACCATGAAGTAGATCAGCAGTTCTCGTAGTTGCATTTACAGTGTTTTCCCACATTTGTGACGACCATTTGTTGTCAGAACTAATTCTTTAGTTGTGGTATAATTTTAATGTATAAGTTTAATTTTATTTTTGAGACCGTACAACCTGTTTTATGGACCATGAAATCAAAATACACAGGGTTGGGATGGGCTAGTGTTGCCCCCTAGTGCCACAAAAGAGAACCTGCACATAAATGCCTTAATATTTTTTTTGCAAAAGCAAGTGAAGATACATAAGGTACCACAGGAGGGAGACAAAGTTAATGAAAATTTTCTAAGAAAATCACGTTTGTGGTCATCAACGTAATTTGTGTTACAGTGCTTTTCTCTTAATTGTGTTTTTTTTTTGTTTTTTTTTGCCAGATGCTGTCACACACCGATTTTTCACTATATAAGGCATTCGGCGTCTTAGCATTCAGAGTAATAACATGTATAAGATTAATCCAATTTTATTTTCATATATACAGTATATATACATATACACATATATGTATGTGTATATATGTATATATATATATATATCTATATATATATACCATGCATACATATAGTATATACATGTTTATATATGTATGTATGTGACTGGACAGCCATTTTAGAAGCAACAGCCAATATCTGGGTTAAGGCATAAACTGGTGTCTTTAAATAGATTCCTGGTTCACATTGAACAAACAAACGGACCAAAAAGATGAGATTAGCTTTTATTGTCGGCAGGAAAAAGTCACAACCTCATTGAGGATGTTGATGATGCACCTGTTTTTAAACAGACAAACATCCCACAAGGACTTGACATTAATAAATTAGACTTATGTCCATAGGTATGTTTTACAAACTACCCTTGGAGTAGTATTTGTGGTTACTATTTTAGAGCAAAAAATATATATCTTTGATCCGATTCAGCCTTCATGTTTGTTTTTCCCCTAGGAATCGCTCAGTCCTCATTGATGGACGTCTTCCTCGGCGACAGCACCAGCGCCTTCACCTCCGGCGTCAGGGTCATGAGCTGGGCTCGGAGGTTGCGTTTTTCCTCATCTTGATCCTCCACCTCATCTTGATCCTCCTGCTTCTTCCTGCCCTGACTCTGACTCACAAGCTGTTTCACCACCAGGCTCTGGTAAGTCGTCAGCAGCTGAAGCTGCTCCTGTAGCGACACATGGTGCACATAAAGTCAACACTTCAGCACGGTATCTCAATATGCAGTCGAGCAGATGCTCCATCGCAACACGTGGAGCCTAGCAACAGCTGCAGTGATGAAGTGGTGGAAGTAAACAGTGATAAGATAAACTGATGCAATGCCCGCGTTACGTTATGCAATGGAAACACAGAAGTCGTATGTCAAGTCAATTTGACAGAAAAACCTAGACCAACTATATCAGAAGGACAGAATTTTTCGGGACAGCTTAGGGCAAAACTTTTTGACACGCCAACTATATCAGAAGGACAGAATTTTTCGGGACAAACAACTTAGGGCAAACTTTTTGACACGTGGGCCGCAATTGTCCTGAAAATTGATAGATGGGCAGATAGAAGTAGTGTTCGTGTGAACTAAGATAAATGACATGTAAAAGTCATGCATACTGGCTAAAATGCTCTATCATTTTCTACTCCACCTATTGGGGAAACGTGTGTATTGCAGGGAAAAGGCAAAAGTATAATGATAATATAAATATATAATTTGGAAAGGTTTGGCGGGCCAGATTTAAACAATAAAATAATAAATTGGAAAGGTTTGGCGGGCCAGATTTAAATAATAAAATAATACATTTTAAAAAAATACATTTTTAGGGATGTATATAATCGGCCAACCGATATTATCGGCATGGTGTTAGCCAAATTATGTAATATCGGACATCCCTACGCATTCTTCGTTTAACATTATTATTTGATGTTTATTTTGGAATCCAGTTGCAGGCTTAATTGACTGGTTCTGTGGGCCAGATTTGGTCCATGGGCCACAAGATGATAGTTACTGCATTTGACCCCTGTGACCTGTTTCACATTTATGAGATAGTCACAGACTGTCGAAATTTAAGAAAGGGAATGTGCGGAATGACAGAAAGACAAAATTTGGCTTATCCCAGATAAGGAAAAAAAAAAGAGTACTGCAGTACATGCTTTAAAAATTCAATAAATTATAATAGAAATATTAAATAACAGAAAAAAAGAATGCTGTTGATAGTAGTGGTCAGGGACAGGCAGGGTCAGACAAACCGTTGGGATGTGTCCCATGAGTGTGCCGATGATCTGAGGCACACACCGCCCTGGAGCGTGCAGCATGCAGTGGGTGCTAGCCTGGAACAGCAGCACACTGGTCAGGTGGAGAACCAGAGCAGGGTCCTCCGACTGCTTCAGCTGCTCAGTCAGAGCCTGGCGGTGTGTGAACAGAGCCTGTCTGCGGAACACAGATGTCAACAGTTGAACTCTTTATTTGAGAAGCTGGGCATAAAAGCCTTACAGTAAACGTGGTACGACAGACAACAGAAAGAAAGCTACACAGTAACAGTACATAAGATGACACCATTAACACTGCAAAGATGTCAATGTTTGGTTACATCAGGTGACAGAACGCGCTGTGATCGTCAGATGTTGATTACTATAGCAGATTAAAAGGGGATTTATGGATCTATAAACCCTGACTGATTGGATGCAATAAAATACAATACCTGTAATCACAATGAAATGAAAAATTATCATGTATAAAATACATATAATATATATACACGTGTATATACATATATATACATATACATATATACACATATATATACATATATATATACATATAAAAATCCATATACATATATATACACATACATATATACATATATATAAAAAGTATCATAATAATATAATACAATAATAAAGTCTTATTTAAAATTTTCAAAATCTGTTATCTCCTTTTAACATGGTTCAAAAACCAATTCTAGTGTCCCAATTCTGGTAGTATGATCATCAGAGATCTTCAAGGGGTTGGGTATATCCAGGATCGCTGAAGATGTCATTACTAGAGTCATTTTTAGGCTTGGCCACGAGTACCATAATTTCTGAAGCGCACCTGAATATAAGCCGCACCCACTAAATTTAAAAATACGTGCGCCCCTCCAACATATATGCACACAGCCATTCACAGACAGACATACGCTACTAGTGTAACACACAGTAGCCTGCCAGAAAAGTCATTGATTGCTAGCGGTATGAACTTGGCTAGCCCGTAAAGATCCATAAATTAGCCGCATCATTGTTTAAGTGTGTGAAAAAGTAGCGGCTTATAGTCCGGAAATTACGGTAACATATAAATAATAATGGTGCAAAGATTGGTGCTAATTTTTTTTTAAGCAATTCCTGCTTTTCTTTATTCTTCTAGTATCGTCACCACGGTGTAAATACATCAGATAAAACATGAGTTAGAAATTTTTGTTTCAAAATTTCTTTGCTCTTTAAAATCAAAACTTTCAAAAATGTCTTTTCCCCTTAAATGACCAGTCATCAGACTTATAATAACAAGTACCTCTCTTTCTTTTTGTCTCCTTTTTTCAGCATGAATCCGCAAACCTCTGCCGATAGCTCCAGGTTGGTCACAAAGTCTTCAATTGTCTGGAATTAAACAGAAAGTGAAAAAAAAAAAAAAAAGTTTCCGTCTATCGCACAGAAATCACCTAATGACGCTTTTACTCACTTTTCCGTTCAGGCAGTTGTGCAGCTTCATAAGAGGTCCTTTGGTTTCTTCTGACAGTTTGCTCAAAATCTTCACTCTGACCTGAGGCGACACAACCAAGTTAAGAGTAAAAGTAAGTTTGACAGTGCGTTAAAAAACAAAACAAAAATGGACACCATCGGTGGTGTTCCCCTGACCTCATTAGTGATGGTGCTGGGGTTCTCCACAGACATCATCAGGTCAGCAGCCAGAGAGTTCACCAGGATGTTGGTCACATCTGTGCACAGGCTCTTCAATACGTGCTTGGCAATGTTCACCTGGGTTTCGTCTACATAAACGAAACAAAAAAAGCGCAATAAATAATTGTCGACGTTCATTAATTAATAAGTTAATAACATGTTTAGTTGCCGGCCCTAATATCTATCTATCGAT